GAGAAGAAAGCTGGGGAGTCAGTGTGGGGACATGTCAGTCCCACGTACACCTGAGCACGAGCCTCCTCCCGGGCAGGCTCTGATTACACGCTCCTCTTCTGAGAAGAATGCAAGTGCTGAAAAAGAAACTGGTTTTGGGGTGGTGGAGGGGATATGTTCATGAAGGAGCCTTGGCACCGCACGTCTGCAACAGCGGGCAAAGCACCGGGATGGCCAGGCACCGGGGCAGGGACACGTTGCCTCTGCGCTGAGCCTCTGCCCCTGTGCCAGGAGGGAGACAGACCCGGCTACTTTTGCTGTCAACAGGCACTCGCAGAGATCAGTGTGACCCCTACTGAAAGATGGGTAAAATCACTTTCTGGAGATGCTTGATCCATCTTCTTTAGCTCTGGAGAAACCCAAGCAGCTTGCTCGGAGTAGGCACCGGGCACGCACGGGGCAGAGGTGCTGCCGCACACCCTGCGGGTGAGTGGGGTGCGGAGGTGACAGTCACCTTCTCCTCCTCACCCCGACACCATGGTGGGGGACGTTGGACCTTCCAGCTGCAGCGCGAAGTGCCGGGCACTCGCACGGGCCGTTCTGCTGCAGCTGCAGCAGCTGGTTGAGGATGGAGAAAAGGGGAACGGGGCACAGACAAAAGCTGCAGCTGCATATGCTTGTGGCTACTTGTACTCAAACCAGAATCAGTGACCACAACAATAAATCAAATTTTTTATAATTATTATTATTATCATCATCATCGTCATTGTCATCGTCATTGTCATTGTCATTATTGTCATTGTTATCATTGTTATTTCAGCTGAAATATGTTTGAATACTAAGTTGTTGGTGATAAATGTCCTGGAAATGTCCATGACATGAACCAGTTTCATCCCAAAACCTAGTCTTGCTTAAGTTTTGCCATTCATTTCAGGGAGGCCATTTCGTGCTGGGAACTTGTTCAGATTATGTCCTGTACTGAGAACACTGTTCAATAATTACGGATGGACCTATTATGTTTGTGCATAAGTTCTTCTCTGAGCTCAGTCCTAGTGCTGTTAAGCTCTATAATTGCTCCATTATTCACAGATTTAAAGCAAACTTATCAAGGGTTAAGAAGAGGCTATAAACGGCAGTAACTAAATAAATTTTGTTGCCATGTTTTCCAACCAAAACTAAGAAGAGGAGTTTCAGAATTGGAAAAGTTACAGTCAATGTCAAGACACTGACATAGGGAAAGCTGCGTATTTTTATTTCCGTGTGGTCGCCGTTACATGCAGCAGATTCCATAACAGTTCAAGAAAACCATGTCCTTCAGTGCTCCCTCTACCCCCCTTTCCAGTGTTCCAGTTCAGAAGAAATCTGATTTTTCATGCCAGCAAAATGCAAAAAGTACTACTAAACAATGGCATTGTTTTAAGACTTTCAGTGCCAAACACTGCATTGTACCAATAACATTCATAGGCATGAAGAAAATAAGATTTTCATAAAACCCTGGTGCTGCATTTAGTCACAATGCAAGGAAATCCCCATAAGAAACTGAAAATCCATTCTATATTTAGCATCAGCATAATAGGATAATGTGGCTACGGTTTACTGTTCTTCTGATTGATGGAGTTTTGCATTGTTTCACTGCAAAGGCCAAACTTCTTAAATAAGCCTGATCTTGCTGCTTTTGGAAATAAGGTCAAGGGAAACAACTTCCACACTCTTCTTTTGGTAGTTCATGATCTTACGCAGGTCTAATGCTGCTCAGAGGAGGCCAACACAAAATCGTCTGCTTTCCGTGTTTTAAAGAAAGGGTGCCTGTACCATTCTGCAAGACAAAGATGAATTACAGCCACCTATTACAGCCTCAGTATTTCCCAAGAAATATCTTTTTCTTCATATTACAATTCATGTTTACAGTCCTATAGAAGTCACAACCATTCTATAGAGAAAACATTTAACTTAAAATAGTACTCTCAAACTTGCCCTAGTATCTTAGCGCCAAATCCCATTTGGGGAGAAAACCGAGAGCTTCACGTGATAGTAAAAGGCAGCGATACTCTAGCCAGATGCAGAACATAAAATGAACACATCCTGAAAGTTTCAGTATAGCCTAGCTGTGGCCCTGGTTTTAAGCTGATCTCCAGTCCTCCACCTGCAAATAACAGAGGAGATGTTAAACAAAATGCATAACATTTTGGTGCCAAATTTTCAAAAAGTGTCCACCTCCAATTTCTTTTTTTTAAAATATGCTAGAATATTGCCATCTGTGAATGTGAAGTTGTGAAAGTATGAATGTGAAATCTGTCAGCTGTTCATCAACATGCTAATGATAACAAAATGCAAGCGACAGAAGGCTGGGTTTTGGGGAGGAGGTTGCAGGGGGCGGGGGAAGCACGCGCATTTTGCCAGAAGGCAACGAGAAGCCGCACGTAGACGATGGCTCAGGGTTCTGCAGGCTGTGCTGCGGAGACGGAAAGCTCACACATCTGGCTGGGGTGCAGCCCGGTGTTCCCACAGAGCCGGTGTGTGGCAGAGCCCCATCGCTGGGGCCAGGAATCAGACACCTCTGCGATTTCAACATGTCCCAGGGATATTCAGGTCGGTAGGAGGGAAATGTTGGTAACGGCACACCAGTGAGGTACCCAACACCCAACACTAACATCTCAGTATTTGCTCATGAGCCAACTCTCAACTTTAAAAACCACCATTTTTTAAAATAACTTGCCTCTTTAGAAATTAAATAAATAACAAGTATTTCAAAGGGGAAAATAATGTATTATAAAAATATTATTATTTCTGATAACTTTAACCTGATAGAAACCTTTGTGCTTTTTTGTAATTTCTTCTCACTCAGTTAGCATTCAAAGGTTCTATTATGGAATCGCTCGAGCCACTGCTTGTAATACAGCTTATTAATATATTCATTTTCTCTTTCTAGTAGCAGTTTTCCATTCCAATTTCCTTTATCTGACTTCTGCATGATTTATTCTGGTGATAAAATGCCCTCTTCTTTCATATAGTTAATTCATTCATGACTTTTAAAATTCATAGCCTCACATTAAATAAGCTGGTAAGTTTGCTCGTGTCAGATTGGTCCCTTCCCCCTCTAGTTTTCAGTAACCCATCTGAAAAGAGGCTTCCTTAAATTTCCTTCTAACAGTTTTAATTTAATCCAGACCTTTTGTAAGAGAACTTTTACGAACAATAATTGTTTCAGACATGAAAAAGCCCCCTGACACACAGCATTATACTAATTATCATTAGCTGCATGCTTCTTAGTAACTCTGGCACCAGTTTACTGTACACATCTGTAACTCTTGTAATACAGGGTCTCAAAATTCACTGGAACAGCAATGTTTTCTCAGGGCTGAATGAGGCCCCATAAGAACAATAACCACGTTCGAAGTTCAAAGGTCCCATAATCTGCTCATCTCCACAATACATCACAGGTTTTGATCTCTGCACCAAACCTGCTGTTGCACTAGTTTACCTTTCAGAAAAATGCTCATTTCTGACATGTTGACTTTACAACTTTAAAAGGTGAACAAGCAACAGCCTTTGGTAAGTTGTCTTAATGGATGCATTGCTTCTAAATGTATTGCTTGTTTAACTCTACCTAGTTTTGACTTCTAACCCTCAAGTCTTACTTATTCAAGGATTAAATAAGTTTTTTGACTTTTAAAGCAGGCACAGAAATGCCCACAACCATCCCTTGGTGAGTATTTGATCCCCAGGTTACCCACACTCACACGGCATCGTCCTGCTTGACCCAAAACTCCTTCCTCCGGGTGCAGTTTTGCCTCTGGGGGCTCGGATAGATCTGCTCTGTGTAAGCACATGGCACTGTGAAGACCTCCTTTACAAAAGATCATCGCACCTACTTATTTTTGAAGGATGGCCAAAAGACAAAGTGAATGTAAATGTGCTGCCCATCCTTCACATAGTATCTGACCACGTAAGAACTGCATAACCCTGAAGAGTGAAGTCTAGGTTCAAAGCCTTCCTCAGTTTGAGAAAGTTAAACGCTGGTGGCCTACCTCCCTTGAAAATGCACTTTCACCCCTTCTTGGGCCCAGAAGCAGGGGAAGAACAGGAGGTTGCTAGTCTTTGAAGGCTGGTGGTGAAGCCAACGCTTCCTCTTAGAACAGTTAAATTTGGGTTGTAGTCCCAAGACACATGATCAGTTAACGGACTCACCATCAGCTTGTCCTCCAGGTGTGTTTTAAAAGAAAGCATTTAAATATGGGCTTTGTTCTCTAGGGGAAAACTAAGCAGCTGCAGTCAGGATATTCTGGAGCCAAGGTCCTGTGTCGGTGGAGGTCCATCCAGCCTGAAGCTCCTCACCATCCGGAGACAGTAGAAGACATCAGACACCCTCTGTCCATCAGTGTTTTCTATAGTCTCGCCCAACGCAATGCACCACCCTGTCTGCACCCCCCACGGGGTCTTCACCACCCCCGTGTAGCACTGAGGAAAGCCAGACACCTCTCTCCGGGTGCCTGGGGACAGACATCAGACCTGCGTGACTGGAGCTGGCTGTGAGCCTTGTCCTGGCTAACCACCACGCCGCTTCTTCATGTGGGTACCGCTCACAGGTCACAGCGCAGACAGCTTTTAACCTTTGGGCAAATTCAGCACATTGAGCTTTGGTGGTATGTCACTATAACACATCTTCCAAAACCTGAGCACCTCTTGATCCTGTTTTCTGGAATCTTTCTTACATTCCAGCACCTTTTCCAAAAATTAGGAGTTTTAAGCAACCATTTATCACCTCCTTTTTAGGTTGACTTCACACCGTGATGCAATAAAACTGCCTTGAGCATGATAACATCTAGCCCAATTACAATTTCCGCATGAGGCGTGGGGTCATTAACAAGAAGGAAGATTTTAAATTGTTTTCAAAGCCAGCTCATGATAGTTTTTGAATTAGCTCCTCATGTACCCCAGGAAACTGGTTTGAGAATTGGGACAGCCAGTGGCAGGCATGGGACCGATACAGCTAAAGAAAGCTCATGAGCCACTCCAGAAGATATGTTCCAAGTTCCTCCCCAGGTCTTTTGCCTTTTATTCTCCAATTCAGGTATTACATTTCCACTGGTTTCCACCAGGATTGTGCATGCACCTTGACATGTTCACAGAAGTTCCACGATACAGAGTTTCACAACTGGGACAGGTCCCTACAATTGGGACACCAGGATGACAAAACAGATTCTGGAGAATTTCCCACTGAATAGGATGGAGAGAACATAATTACCACATCGTAGCACTACAATGCCTCATAAACATAGAATAGACTAGATCCATTTACCACAAAAATCACAGAAAGTAACTGATCAAAGAATATCTCTTTTATGTAAAATATACATTTGTAGCATATAATTTTAATACATCTTTTATACTTATTGATGTTGGGTTTGCAACACTTTGAATTAAAAAAAAAAAAAAAAACCCAAAATACTCTTGCTGCCAGAATTTTATTTCTCATAATACTTATAGTTTGAGGTAACAATGAAAGAAGACTGTGTGCTGTGAACAAAGTCGGTGATATTTGTCTGCAGTCACATTTCTGTTATCAAAGTGAAAAGTAAACTTAAGACTTGGCCTGTACACTAGAATTCATACAAATATAGGTCATGGCAAACTGAGAAAGCAAGGACTTATGCAAACCTACTCTGTTCATATTTGTGACCTTTGCAAAATATACCGTTATTATGACAGAAGTCAAGACAGATGTAGTTTACGTCACTATCATTAGTAAGTGGGTGTCTTTGTATGATCCACAGCACAACTTACTGCAGGAACCAGGAATAATACATACAGGGGTGTGGGTCTTTGCATGGAGCCTTAGCAATGATGACTTGAATTCAGCTTTCCTTGATATAGATAAAAACTGATATTCCATGCACACACGTTTTATTTACAGCTGACTCATCAACAGTGACTAGTCACCCCTTCCTCTGGCAGCAGTAATTATGAGCAGTCTTTAATCTTCTTTAACAAGGTCCACTTTGCATGTAAAGTCTCAGTGACCTCCTCAAGGCGCGAGTTGTTTATCAGGGCCCATTCAGCAGCAGCAGTCTCTTTCCAGTACAGTCCTTGGTATGGCTAAATTCCATTGTCCCTTTTTCAGCAGTCAAAAATCCATGATAAATTCTGTACAACACTGTAGTTAATATAACAGCAGCACCAGATATTATATTAATTCCTTTGCTAAAAGCTGTTTGCAATTATCTCTCTATTGACAATATTTTACCAAAACTAAATCAATGTACATCTCTAAATATCAGAAATGTATACTCTGATAAATACATTATTGTACAAGAATTCTGACATGCAGATCATGCTATTGGGCTAGGCTATATACAGAAGAACATGTTACATGGTCAACAATAAGTTATATTTCTTTTCCTAACAAAAAATAAAACATGACAATCAGGGATTATTCAACAATCTCAAGGATCTCTTAAGATTTGGGTTGTTATGGTCTTCCCCATGTAGTTCTAAAACTCTGTGGTTTAGGGTAATTTTTCCTCACCAGCCCAGAACATCAAATCTGCCACTGCATTTGTCCTGTTGCATAAACAGAGGTTAATATTGAATGAAAAAGCCACTAGAGGAGATACAGTTTCAAAACTGTAATGAATGCTGGTTGCTAGGAGGAAGATTGATGCAATAGGCAACCGGTCAGTATTGTAATGCCGCTACTAAATCCCACTCGAAAAATCTTCAGAGTGCTCACATGAGTTAGTCTAGATGATACTAACTTGCACTTGAAAAATATATATATTTGTATCTATACACATAAGTATAGTCCATATGAAAAAAAGAGAAAAGGAGAAAAATGTCCTTAGTTAACCTTAAAAGAGGGGGGCATTTTAACAGTATCTCTGTGCTTTATGGAGACAGATGGAGAATACAGTAGACAGGTTGCAAAACAGACAGACAAACAACATATAGGACAAAGCACCTCAAAAAACATTGACTGAAGAAATTTTTGAAGCTCATGAGCCAGAGGTATAAGGCTGGTCAAAAACCCGACGTGAGAACTGCTACCCTCTTACAGTGGTACAAAAAAGCCCCCAATAATCTTCTCAATTTTACTTGGTACTCAGCCTCTGAAAATGTTGAAGAACCCTGGAGTAGAGAAATGACTACAGTACCAAGCAGCACTTGCTAGCTTAAAATTGCAAGTCTGGATGGCGTTTACCTTTCTTGCATGTTTTGTGCCTTCCCCAAGCCATTAAGAAAGAGATCTGGCTTCTGCTTGCGTGTAACCAGTAATGACAACCTCTTTGCAGTTATCTGTGTGCAAACAACCGGAGACATTCAGAACTCTGATACAGCAATCCAGTATCGAAGTAAGTTAATCACAAAATAAAGCCATTTATAAACAAGTAGATCGTTAAGAAAATAAAGGAAAAGGTTAAACAAAGAAAAACAATCCCACATGCAGACCAGTTTATCAGTGCTTTCATTTCAGCAGGATGGTACAATGTGAGAACACACATCGAGAGCCATCTGTGGTCTCCGCGATCGGCAACACTGCTTGTCAGGTGATGGAGACAGGATGGTCCATGCAAATGAGCAGACCCAAGTCACATTGTGTGCAACCACGACACGGTTCCAGACATCTTCAGGATGGGTTAGAGTCACAAGAAATGGAAGTTCAATGGAGTGACTGATAATTAGTTGGAAGCACATTATTTTACGTAAATCTCCCTGAAAATATGCTTATTTATTGAATATACTGGCCAACGGCGTCCACTAACTGTCCTTTTATTGCCACAGGAAAGTAGGACAATATAGTAGATAAAAGGAGAAGTGCTACCTTCGGTAATCTTTAAGAGCCAAGATAAAAATCTTCAGCTACCCAAGTGGCATTTCTTACTACTGACAGTTACATCATGCAGGAGTTATATTTGTGGAGCCTATGGTTAATGCTACATTTATTTCCAATATGTGGTAAACAGTATTTGAATTAATACTATGCAGCCGATTGATGCCATCTGGTTTACAAGATGGAAGGGATGGGAGACCGAGAGCGCCTTAGAGGACAAGGTGAGCTGTAGGGTGATGTTACTGGAGACAGTCGCAGAGCATTGCCTGTCAAGCCAGCTATGTTGTTTAAGCTTCGAGATTTTTCATAGCCTTGTATGAGAAAATGCACAGACATCAGTTGAATTCAGCCAAAAAAATAGACAAAGACAAACAATACAATGTAATGTCATCCAAGGAGCTATCTGGGGCTCAGAGGGAATCTGCCTGCAAAAGAACTCAATGCCGAGACACGTCACTACCAAAAGATATTAATAAATAAAATTATTTACAAATTAATGCAGTTATTCTTTCCCAGAAAATTAAACAGACCATCACACAAGAGGTCTGACCTGCTCTTCCACACCCCATCTTGCACTCGGTGCTGCTCTGTTGGCTTCAGCAGGGTTGCAGAGAGTGCAAGATAAAGGATCCCAGCAGGGTTACTGGGTGAGCTATCTGGCTAAGCATAATCAAAAACCCATTAAGACAGACTATAAAAACTGTTAGAATTATATCATCTCTGCTAAACCCAATTCCTAATAAAGGATGATTTTTCTTTAAAAGTAAATAAAACAAAACAAAAAAACCCAGATAAATTGCATACAGTATGTGTAAATCACTTCTGCAGAGGACTGAATGATACTATGGGAAAGAAGCTTCATCTACAGAAATATTAACCCTAAGACTTTGTGTCTAATATTGAAGTATAATAAGATAGTAGAGTTTGACATATTTGCAAATGCCTCCTGACTGGCAAATTTAAAACACCATATTTGTGCTCCTTCTCCAGCTGACTCGAATTAAATGGTATTAAACCACAGAAGCAAGTAGTAAATAAGTAATCATTAAATGAGGCAACCACATAACGCTTCACAATTTGGAGGGAACATTGCACTTGCAGACATTTCTCTTCACATACACTGTGAGCTCTAGCTACCTACTTTTTGCTACATATAGATTGTTTTCACCTTGTAGAGGCTATGCTGTACAATGACAGAAAAGCATTGCTATTCGCTGTATCACTATCTTCATAATCAAGTATTTTCAACAGCACCTGAATAAGCCCACTTATGAAGAAAAGGATCAGCCTATCGGTCTGGAGAGAGAGATATCAGGAAGGAAATACAACAAAGATGAAGCCGGACAGGACCCAACTCCTCAAGTACATGGATATATGCTTTACTGCAGGCGTGGGAAGTCCCATTGATTCAACGGCACTACCTATTTCCTTGAAGACAAACATGCATCTAAGCATTTGTCGGATTAAGACATTCAGGTATAAACTGCTTACAGTGAAATACCGAGACTTTTCCCACAGAAACTATAAAATGCCGGTGAAAAACAGCTAAACATTACGTGGGACATCACCAGACATTTTTTCTCTTATTGAAGTGGGTACCGGCTCAAATTCCAGATCTCCAGATAACAGTTAACAGACAGTTGTTAGCATCTTCAGGAAAAATCATATCTTAGGTTCTCCCCTAACGACAATTAACATATTTCTTACCTACCGAGAACTGCATACTGTAAAACTAGACTTAAAGCAAATGTAGAACCTCATGACTGCTAAAACATTGTGCAATGTTATCTCCAGATTGCAAGGGCAGGCTAGACTGTGATGCTTCACAGACTTCCGATACATTTCAAAACCAGCCTCCAGTTTCTGAGTTTCTATCCGTATTTACACAGATTAGAAAGAATCATGTTTGAAAGGGGAATTGAGGGGAAGCACAATGCTAGTGCATATATTTAACCTCCCCTGTAAACATAAAGCTTACCAAAAAAAATCAAAATAATCAGGTAGCTTTTTTACACAGAAACTAGGAAAGTATTTTTAAAAAATATTTTTCCTGCTACTTTTCTAATGATAAAAGCAAAGAACTGATAGAGGAAGATGGTAAAGATGATAAAGAAAACAGGAATTCCTAAAAAATGAAAACCAGATACACAAGATGAATAGAGACAGCGGCATGATCCAAAATCAGTACTTTCCAGGTATTTCAGTGGGGTTTGGATCAGCTCTGAATCAGTATCTTCTTAGAGACGGAGATAAGGTGCTAATGTAAAAAAGCTCAGAATAAATGATCCTTGAACACAACCAAGAACCAACCAAGGAACCAACCAAACAAGAAGGATGTACCAAAAGAATGAAAGGGAAAAAATAAAATGAAAAAGTAGTAGACTTGATGTGTGAATTAAATTCAAGTATTCAAAACCATTTGGATGCTACTTGGAGATGTTTATGAGTTAACTTCCCTACTCTGTATAAAATAAACTTGGAAGCCAGTGGCTAAAACATTTCAGCCTAGACTATGGTTATCATCAGAACCAGTCAAACAGCATCAAGAAACTGTCAGTTCTGAACTCAAGCATCATTTTTCTAGTAAAAACTATGACACAGTTTTCTCTTGAATCTAGATTTTGAAATGAAAATGTTCATGTGGTCCTAGTATAAAATATGTTTTATTGTTATATGAATATGTCTTTCGTAGCTGACGTGTAATGTCTTTTATTATTTCTGATCTGTTCTAATTATGGTTACTGCCAAGTGAACAGCACTCAAATGTTTATACTAACTTTCCTAAAGAAGTCAAGAACCTTATCTTGCAAGATACCATGGCAATCTACTTTATTCAGGTGTTCCTGACCTCCTCAAAGACTGGGCTCTTAGCATTAGAGATATTTTAAATAATCCTAGTTGTTGAGTAGACAGTGTGAGATATATGCTTGGTGGAAAGTGTCCTAAATCTGTGCAAACACGTTTGCAATGAAAGTCCCATTTAATCTAAACATTATGTATAGGAATATGCAAAACACAGGAGCATAGGGACAATCATACTCTTTACAAATACCATACACATCAAACTCTGGTTGCATATCTGTCTTCACAGGCTTAACCTACTGAGCTCATGCTTTTGAAATGTAAAAAGCGCATTTGCAGAATAACTCAAGAGAATTCCTTTAGGGTCTACAGTTGGCTTGGACAGCTATGTTTGCTGTACACAAAGCAAGCTAAAAAAAAAAAAAATTAAAAAAAAAAGGGGGGCAGAAAAATCTCAGCCAAAAACTTTTGTCCAGTGCCATGTGGCTACTGCAGATGAACTCTGAGGTGAACGACTGCACATCAGCGCTCAGGAACATGAAACCTGTTGGAATGATACAATCTGCCAAGAAACCAAAGCAATTCTTATCTAAGGAAATGGCAAGACAACCACTGGCGTTGCTGATTTGGGGGCTATGCCCTGAGGTTAGGTTTGCAGCCACAGCCAGCTGTGGCCTGACGGGGTAGCCACGCCGTCAGTCGTATGGGTGATACATAAAATGACAGAAGGTTTTGCAAACTCCACCTGGGGAACCCAATCCTACTGAACAGTGAGTAATCAGATTTGAAGAGGCTGAATAACTAGAAAGGCATTTTTAGCACCTTGCAAGATCAAACATTGTTTATTGTAGTTGAATTCTTGTTGGGGTAGACAGTCACCTTTCAGCATCAGTGGTATATTACAAAGAGGAAACATTTTGTGGCATTATAAACTCAACCTTTTCTTTGAAAGAAATCTAAATAGCATCTCATACGATATGCTCTGTTGTGTTTAGAACAAAAACGTTGCTCGCTTCTGACATCTCAACCTTTTAAGTGTAATTTATTCAGCTGTAATTTTTACTAAGTTATTAAGTGCAGACCAAAGTTATTCAATAATTAATTTGTCTTTTAGAATGACAAATGGTATTGAGTGATGAGTGGTTGAATGAGGTCTGAATTGCAGGCTTTTCCATTAAAGATAACAGACAAATGAAGACACAAGTGATATGTGGGTCCAACATCAAGCACATTTTGTGAAGACTAAAGGAGATGAGTGTTTCTAAAAAGAAAGCGGGAAAAGAATGACTAGGAGTAAAGAAAAAGATACATTGTGAGTACAATCTTTCCTCTGAGAGCATTGTGCACATCATTTTACTCTAAGATTGCTTTTCACAAGCACATTGCTAAGTAACCTTTTATGATCTAATGAAAGAAGTCCATACCTTTCCTGATCCCTCCATCAGTAGCACACGTGTAATCACCTGTGGTCAGTAGGAAACATGTTCCCCCTCTTCTGTTTTTGTCTCTTGTACTAGAGCGTCTGATGGGAGGGAGCCTTTCACCAGGTGAGAGTGGCTGCTCACTTCCTGCACTGTCTTCACCTGATAACACTGGTTAAAGCACCATGCCCATTTACAGACAATAATGAATGAGGAAATGAGACATCACAAAGAGCTTATGCTGAATGCCGGATATTCCCATCACTCAAAAAATCGTTATAAGGTAAATCATTAGAAGAGAACAAGATTGCAATTCACCATTAATCAGTACAAAATGGCAAAAAGTATATTTTTTATTCAAGGACCAATGATCTTTTGACTTTCTTGTTCTTTTAAATTTCATATAAAGTTATACTAAACTAACATGAAATAAGAAATAATCAAATCAAGGCTCAGTTAGTTGCCTATTATGGACCATAACTTTTCAGAGTACAGGCAGCCTTGGATATTTCAAACAAGTATTTATTATTTTGGCCATCCTTTTTGCTAAACAAGAGGTCATGTTAGTCATTTTTGCTTAGAATATGTTGCTTAGCATATTTTAAAGACAACCCCTCCCCCAGGAGGATTAAATTTTCAACATTTGGCACTAAAACCTGTTTAATAACACACTTACTTAGCTTTCATTTCTATACTTATCATACTTGCACTGCTTGTCATCGTAAGTACCCAACATGAAATGCTGTCTTTGGTCTCTGTAGTTTATTTTATCAAACAGCGAAACTCTTACCTCTCCTGATTTGGCACTCCCAAAGGACTCTCTTCTAAAATTATCTACCATTTCAGATTCAAGCCACACTTCAAGAAAAAAATCTCTGCTCAGTACAGCACATAACAGGTAATGGCATGTTACTGACTTCAGCTTTGCCTTTGCATTTAAACCTGAGCATGTGTTTTTCTGAACTGGTAATGCAAAGGGCTCTATTCAGCCTTGAAGTTTTGCACAGAATTCCTAGTGACTCTAACAGCATTCTCTACCAGAAATAAAGCTACAGTGCACAATATGAGCGGTGGCACTACTGAAGAGAAACTTAACACTTCAAAATGGCTTCTTTTTGCATATCTGCTTTGTCTCTAACTTCAAGGATTATAACACCTTGTAAATAAAGCTGCAGACACAGAAGAGTGTCTCTTTTCTCTGATCACACTGAGCCTCCTGCATTCCGGAATACCTTTAGTAGGACCTGATGGCATGAAAAAGCTGCTATCATTAACACTTTAAAGATGTTGTCTGAAAGTGGGTATCAGTCAAAGCACTGTAAAACTAACTATATTCCACCCTCAGTGTGAGTCCCTTCAAGGGTTTCCATCCTCTTAAAGATATTTAGGATGTTCAAAAAGCTGTGTTAACTTTGTCTGCGTACACTCACTCGGAGACTGAAACCGAGCTTCTTTGAACATAAATGCTATTCAGTAACAGAGCAACAGACCAAAGACGGATATTGTTCAGAGACCGATTTTCCAGACTCTTCTTTTTAAAAAAATAAATTTCAATTACTGAACGACACCAGTCATGGGTGGCTTTGCTCTTATTATTCTTTAGCAGCTTTTCCACAGGAGTCTAATGACTGGTATGTGAGCTTTGTAATCAGATTGTGCTTGGCTACAAGAATAAATACATTCGAGAAACAAACAAAAAAATCCTTGCCGCTAAAAATTTTAATTATACTGAGAGATAAAATTTAGTCTTTAATTTGAAGAGATACGGAATATGGGGCAGTGGCTTGGAGGGGCAGAGGCTGTCATTTGATATGCATTTTCACAGCGATTAGCACAAAATACTCCTTATCCATCATTTGGAACTCTAACAAATAAGGTCATATAAATCATAAAAATCAACACCAATAACGATGATGTTGCTAGGGGCTGTCACTTTCATTTTGCTTGACAAACTTTACATCAGCTATGCTATTATCATTCAATTAAAAGTAAATATCATGCAATGTCTCATCTAACACAGACAAAGGAGGTTCTTCTAGCCAGGGAAGCAGAATGCCAAATGGAAAGAAAGCTAGAAAGAGAATTTCTTCTTATTTCCTTTGAGTGCTGGGCTTTTGATGTAAAGCACCTGCTCCTTTTAAATGACCGCTTCTTTGTAGGATCTTGCTTAACAGGCCACGATGTGGCACAGGCAAAGCTGACACAAGAGACAGACACTGAGGCAAAACACCATGGAGTCCAACAGGGTGGGACACGGTGGCTGCTCAAATAGTCACAGTCATGCAGAAAAACAAGAAACATCCATACAACGCAACAAACAACAGGCAAAAGAAAAGGTTGATATCATCAGCAGGAAAGCATTCTCAACAGAGCAAGCAAAACTGTATAGACCAGCTACATAGAGGTTTGGGAACATCGCTATACCTATTTTGTCCTCTATGAGACTGACACACGCAAACACTGGAGGGGAGAAGGGTGGGAGCTATGTCTTCTCCTGGCAGAAAGACTGGCTGCTTTCTGACCCCTGCCGAACATACTGGTCTATAAAGTGTTTTCAGAGGACATGCATTTCCAGTGGGGTCCTACCTGATGATCTGTTGTGCTCCATCAGCTGGTTGTCCTTGCCCAGGCAGATGTCACCCTGCGTGCTATTGCAGGCCATGTTCAAGTCTGTCTTGCAGAAGGTGGGCGAGCTGGCTTGAGGAGCAGGAGGGATGTGCTTCTTCCTCTTCCTCGGCAGTTTCTGCTTCGCCATGGCCAGGGAGTAGTACATCCCAAAATTGTTAACTATCACAGGCACCGGCATGGCTATAGTGAGCACCCCTGCCAGCGCACACAGGGCTCCCACCAGCATGCCTGACCAAGTCCGTGGATACATATCCCCGTACCCCAGGGTGGTCATGGTGACTACAGCCCACCAGAAGCCAATAGGGATATTTTTGAACTGTGTGTGCTCACTCGCCGACGGGTCATTGGGCTGGGCTCCCACCCGCTCTGCGTAGTAGATCATGGTGGCAAATATCAAAACACCGAGTGCCAGGAAGATTATCAGCAGCAAAAATTCATTGGTGCTGGCTCGCAGAGTGTGGCCCAGCACCCTGAGGCCCACGAAGTGCCGGGTGAGCTTGAAGATTCGCAGGATCCTCACGAACCTCACCACCCTGAGGAAACCAAGCACGTCCTTAGCAGCTTTGGAGGAGAGCCCGCTCAGGCCCACTTCTAGGTAAAAGGGCAGGATGGCCACAAAGTCAATGATATTCAAGAGGTTTTTGATGAATTCAAGTTTGTTGGGGGAAAAAACAACGCGTACTAAAAATTCAAATGTAAACCATACCACACAGACTCCTTCCACGTACGTCAGGGCAGGATCTGTCTCAATTTCATACTGTAGCACAGTTTCTGTCCCGTTGACGACCTGCTCAGTTTTGTTTATAATAGTATTGAAAGCCTCATGTGTTTCCAGGCAAAAGGTTGTGATTGAAACTAGGATGAAGAACAACGAGGCAAAGGCGATGAACTGAAACAAAAAGAGGGAAAAGAGACATCAGAACCACACAGCTCTTCACATTAATACTAACAATGTCACTGATCATTATAAATCTTTTACTGAATCATCCCCAAATGATTCACAAATTTGTATGCATAAACCTTTCCATCTAGGCCAGAGGAGAGCAGCAGACAGCTCTCAGGCATAGGCCAGGAGTCTGGGATGAGGAAAAGTCTCGGTGATGGACACTATGACAGGTTGCAACTCATTCAGAAAGTGGCAACAAATTCTTTAATCTGTGCCAAATCATCTGAACTCCATTCAGTTGTCAAGGTACCTTACAAGCAGCCCCCATACGCACCAACAACAGCAAGATTTAAGGCTGTCCACCTCTCACATTGTGGAAAACGGGGCTGACCCTAATGGTCTTGAGATTACGGTTCAGGAATTGACACCTGGCCTGAAGGGCACCTCAGAAGGTCCCAGGAACAGGTCCAAACACTGGGTTTCCTTTGGATTTTCAATGATTCACAAACACAGGATATTTACTGATAGAAAATGCCTTCCGTATTACAGGTAGAGTTGGTTGTACAGCCTGTTATGTTTGCAGTCATCCATCACTCATACTCTTAGGCAGGACTAAGAGTAAACCTAGCAGAACCTCTCTCACTGCAGGGGCTGAGCTTTGCCAGTGTCCTAGGATCCACAATCCTGCTATCAAAATTGCAGACCCAAGACAATCTGAACAAATAGGGAAATACAAATTCAGTTCTAGTAGAGGCATGTGAATAGATAAAATACAGTTAAATACCCTGGAGACAGCCCTCAAAGAGGATTGCCAAGGACTTAAAAACCATTTACTGCTGATCTTCAACTCCGTCATCACAGTCAAGCATTGAAGAAAAGAGAACATCTAGGACAGGATCTCATAAAAATTAACATTGAGCCAAACATCTGGAGGGGGAGATAAACTTTCTCACACCCAGTAAAACACGCCAAATGAAAAGGTGTTTTGAGGGCAATTGCTCCTTTGCTACAATGGTTAACTTCTTTTAAGTGACAATACATTACCGCCATGTTAGCACTCCAACAGCAATGGTGTGGTACATGAATAGATGATATGTTTAAATCTCTCCCTGAGACAGGATTTATAACATGTTATCAATGTGTCTGTTATTCTGGATTTTCAAATTAATAGACATTTTATAGCCAGTATTATCCTGGAAAAAACTCTCTGAAGACTTGAAGATTTTCAAAGGTGTTAGGGGCCCAAAGAGACAAAATGATGCCTAAACACATTTTTTAAAGTATCTAGTGCCTATGTGCCTCCTCACTTATCTAGCTGCTTGAAATTTTATCACTGCGTAATATCAAGAAAGAAACACATTTCTTTCAAAATGGCAGAAAATTACTAACTCTTTTGGCTTGGATTTTTATAATTTTGAACTGTTACTTGCTGGTAAAACAAAAATACATGATAGGGATCTCAGAGCTTGAGACAGGTGCTCCATCCTTTTTAATATTATTTATTTTAGTAAATAAACTTAATGTATTTTATGTTTCCCTTAATACTACTTACAAATCCCTCAGGGTATCACTCTTTTAATCTGTTAATTCCCAACCTGAAACTAAGTACCTTAAAGAAGCCCAGCAAGTAGAAAAAAATATCATATTCTTTACTACCACCCTACTGGAAAGGGCAGCTTTCAGTCCAGGTTCCAGTGGTACAGGCAAGAGAAAATGTGGCAGCAGGATGCTGGTATGTTACCACCCCAAAATCTTGAATCTCATTGAAAAAATCTAGTTACAAGGGAGACAGAACAGCAGCCATAAGCAAGAATGCCTCTTATGTCACTTTAATCCAGGCTGCAACATTGCAGCAGAACTGACTTTGTGTACTTTGGGTATTCATCACCGAATTTAGTATTAGTGCTCAGACTGAGTATTGTGTGCCACAGGAGTTCATTTGGGCTGGTACATTACTGAATAGTTGCATTTTTTGAACACAAAACATTATTTAGACAACAAAATATTGTCTCTACAACCGGTAGAGAGAATTGCTTTTATTCTGAGAAACAAGTTTAAATTTGCAATGCAAGCCTGGCAAATTTATTATATTCAGACTCACAAGATGTATCTATCTATCAGAACCCCCCCTATATCTACCTGTATCAGAGAGTTGCAGCTTTTTTATGGCTTCCTTTCCTCAATCAATGAAACAAAGTTATTACACCAAGCCCCTCAATTACAAACGCTCTAAATCTGTTGTCTTTCAGAAAGGACTGAGTCAGGGACTGAACTGAACACTTATCATCCAGTCTGAACTTCTAGTCATGAGCTAAGCAAACAATCTTACACTGTCTGGCTGATTTTTACCGAACAGGCTTTTCTGCCTTTGCCTTAACTACAAAATTGCTGCACGTTCATCGCTCATTTATTCCTGGCACCTGAGACCAACACACACAAAAAAGCCTCGATCTTTTGTGAGACAACTAGAGTCAGCAAATACAACCAGATTTATATAGCCTAAGTGAATTAATCTCAGCAGATCCTTGTAAAACCTCTCCATGACATGGACAGAGAATTTATCAGACTCTAAGCCACTGGTGGAGCATCCTCCAGCACCTTTCTACACAGTGAAGGAGAGAAAAAGCAAACAAATCTGTGGAGGCTGAGGATCACTGAAGCTAAGTCAGCACTGTAGTTTGCAACCTGGGTGGGAACTTTTAATAGATAAAATATTGGGCAACCTCTTTAACAGCAACACTTTGGTGATGTCAGACAACTGTGAACATTTTTTGTCTGAAAAGAACAGAAAATTCTATTCAACTGAGCCAAATACCAAGGTGTTAACTACAGGTAGAACTGCCTGACAATTTATTACTGTTTTGCTCAACACTGACACTGTGAAAGGCCACAGTGCACTTGGCAATTGGCACTTGCCAAAGCAGATCAAAAATTTTAACTGTGCACCTACATTCAATGGTGCCTTATTATCCCCAAAGGAAAAAGACATTTCCACAGTCTGCCGAGTATCCTACTCTGTTATCCTAAAGGCAATCATCTTTCAGAGGTTAGAACAAACAAAAGCAAGAAAAAGCTATTAATCTAGTGACAGATTTCTTGATAATCCTGCAATTTCCATTCATAGCAATATAAAACAATGGGCTGTACACATTTTGCCATGCACACAATAGCACATACATCATTGCTTTTGAGCAAAGACACTCATTCCTTTAATCTCTTGTTGCATTTTCCTTCAAACTGTAAACTCCTTGGATCAGGACATTCTGGACAGAGCTTGCACATCACCTAGCATGATGAAAGCTCATACACAAGAAGACCTACAATGTTATTGCAACAATCAGAGGGTTCAGAGAACATGCAAGAAGAAAATACAATGGCCAGTGCAAGAAGGAACATTTTAACAGTCAAAGAAAAATGCTTAGGAATTTATTTTACACTAACAAAGATACTTTCTATTATTAAATTACATAATTCTAGGCAATGTGTTGAAAAAACTCTAGAATGTTTTTCACAAACAGTTGTAATGATAGAAATGAAATTAAGTCATGTGCTATCCTCACTCTATGCTTTCCTTCTGCTTCATCCTAATTCCATCTTCTCTCATTTTGAAGGCAATGAGCCTCTAAAAACACATTCATTTTTGTTCATGTGGCCAAGCACCACATTTCAGACAAAGTCAGTACAGGTCCAAACTCCCAGATTCTCTGGGGAATGGGACCAACCAAGTTCTATTCCTCAGTCCTGCTAATGTCCACAATAATTGGGGTACCACACACAACTTTGGGGTTTTTTTTTAATGAAGCACACAAATCTGAAAGGAGTTAGCCTGATCATCATTTCAGAAAGGTCACAGCAAGAGACAGGTTTTTTGTTGAATCATTAGCAACCTTTCACTGTGAGAAGTTCTGAAAACTTAGGTTTTGACTAGTTGCAAGACAAATTCAGCCTTTTTTTTCAGCAAAAAAGAGCTTCATTAACCCCCTTTTTTAAACCAAAGATTGTGGCCCAAGCACATGGCTTGAAACTCTTTGGAAAAAAAGCTGAAGAAGGATTTTCAAATAAGATCCAAATAATCAGGCTCCTTTTCTCATTTCTTAGAAGTTTTTAAAAAATAGTTGTTTCTTGTTTGTTTCAATGGATGAGATAAAATTATCTTTCTTAATTTAGGTTTTCTTTTTCTACCCTGAGGGACAGCACTTTCTACATAAAAGAATGGTTGTACAGACACTTCAGGGCCACCAAACCAGCCTTTTTCAAAACCAAAATTAATAAAAATTGAATTAATAAAACATTCGTTCCATTTTTGCCAGAAAAGAGCAGTTAAAAGTTACAAAAATGTTCAGTATGTAACACACAGCATGCAGAAATTTCCTCATTAAGTAGTTAAAGCTCTCAGTAGGCTGCTGATTCCCTCTGCTCACATTTTGAAGGCAGCGTGCACCCAATTTTGTTCATGTGTGTCAGCATCACATTTCAGACAATGTTGGTACAGATTCCAGCTCTCAGCTTCTCTAGTTGATGGGATCACCAGCCAAGCTCTGTTACCGAGTCCTACTAATGTTCACAGTAAGTGGATTAATCATCTACAACTTGATTTTTAGTGAAGCGCATAAATCTAAAGTGAGTGTCAGATGCCTGCAGATAACTTGTTGGAAGCAGAAAACTTTATGATACCTATTTTGAATTCAGTGTCCCAGAGGGAACTGAGTTGCTCAGAGTTTAAAGCCATTTCAAAAATGACAACCAATTCTAGGACTGCAAATTGAGCAGTCTGTGGATTATCAGAACTTCTGTGCGTCCAATGTCATGTTTTACCTTGCACATAGCTCCTAAAGTGCCTTGAATAAATTAAGGTCACTTTAAAAATCGTGGCTGCAAATGACCTGACCCATGTCTGGATTTCACAGTAGGAAAAGGCACCTGGTCGGAGGATGCTGTGGCTCACATCTAACCCACATGCCCAAGTTTCCTTTCCAGTGCAAACCCAGACATGGGACTGGTTG